CTGAGAGTAAGAGGAATAAGAATAAGAAGAACACGCGAAGATTGTGCTTTCTTTATGATTTCCTATGAAAACGTGATTTGGGTACGTAACATTTGCATAAAACAGAGATACGTGACAGGAGGGAGACAAATTAAAGCAGGCTAATTGTTTAATGGGACATTTAGTGCTCTGGTAGGAGCATCAGATAAGTCAGTTGTGTGGTTTTGCGCTGTACCGGAGGAGAGGCACTGCTGTCGAGAGAAAGCGTAACCCTGATACTGCGGCCAAAAGCACGACAACGTGGCTGTTCTCCCTCCGTCCCCCCCCCCCAATTGCTATAACTTCTGTATTTAATTATCTTCTATTATCATGGACTACAGAAATTAACTGCATTAGAGAAGTTTTCTTTTTTTCTCAACTTTACTCGTCGAGAGAAGGCTTTTCAGATTTTTATTAGTCTGCATTGTGTATAAAGTGCTTTATTCTCATTACGTAAAATCTAGAAAGGACGCTTTCATTACTTTTCTGGATAGAAGTTTAAAGTTTTTAATTGAAGAGATATAACATAATCAAGTCTTCTGCTTAGTAAGGGGATCGGTTATCTACAGGGGAAGCGATTTTTTTTAAAAAAAAACCTAGTGCAGACCGCTTCTCGGGCTCACTCATCCTGGAATCAAATGGGGCAAAGCGGCCGGGGCGTTAAGCTAACCGCTCACCTCCACTGACGGTCTCCTGACTGGCAGGCCCCGAACTTCGTTTTCATTCACCTTACGTGTTTTTGTCCGGGACAGAGACAGAATTAGATAGCCTACTTCGTAAGACAAAAGTGTATTGTAGTTCTAAAGTCAATGGAGATTACGCGTTTCCAAAATCCGTTCGTTTGGAATTCCCATTCGTCGAAGGAACTCGTCTGCGTCCAGACTTATTCCACGTATACCTGCAGTTACCATGGAGACAAGCAACAGCTTGGAAACTGTACAACTTTCTTTAGATAGCAAACAAACAGGATAGGATAGGTGAGGGGATTTTTGTTTAAACTGCTGTGATGATGATGATGATGATTTGGATTTTTGCGCCGTATAGAATTGTTGGTGGTAGTAGCCAGCGTTTCGGACAAACACAATGTCTCCATCTTCAACCTTGAGTATGAAGACAGTAAGATTCTCCGAATCCCTGGCATCTACCAACAAGTCTACATGGCGCCAAAACCCAGAACAATATCGCCATCGGATACGTTTAGAGAAACGAGCAATGGATTTTCCCTTAAGAATTACACTGTAATATATTTAAAATTTAGGCTTAAGCGTTAATAACCTATAATTTTTATGTTACGTGTCAATTATTTTAATGACTAGTCATTTTTAAGGAAATGGCATAAGAATGTTATGGAGTTTCGCGGAGAAAATTACACGATTTGAAGCATTTTAATGGTATTTCATATGGCAAAACTTACAAAACTCTAAATGTTGAGGTTATATTCGTCGTCTTTAACTTTTTCGGAAGCACGTACTAATGGGCAGTATGACCACTTATGTACAGATCTCAATTCTTAATCAAAGATTCTCTCAACCTCTCAATATTGCAGCTTGTGGTTGCAAGCACTTCACAGAGAGAGTGCGCGCAGTTCCTTGTTATAAGCAGAAAATTGTGGATTCTAGTGAGACTTACATCGTCATTCCGATAGTTAAAACATTTTCAACAGAAATTTGTGGAGCTAACAGTAACTGCAGAATTCTGGTTGCAAGAGACGTTTCTGAGTGCATTTAGGACGTTGATAATAATTTTCTGTATTTTGACAGTCTAAGAGCGTGATGTGTGTTGTATGGACGTATATATGTGTCATGTATAAGTTTCTACGCATGAGAGATAGTTATTTAAATGCCCTTCAAAATATACAAGTTATCTATCGTCATGTGATAGGGCACTTTTTGAATTATGGAGTGTCATGTGTGTTAAAGCAAGCAGTCACAATCTTTTTTAAGTCACAAGGCCAAAACCTACGTGCAAAGTCGGAGTTAACTTACAATTCCTGCAGGAATGTTCTTTTTTGCTGGTTATTAAAACGTAGAATTCTGTGCGCAGAGATTGAGAGCTCATTATATTGCAAGGTTAGGTCATGGAGAATTCTATTTCATCAGCACGTGAGGTTTGTATGGTGCGGTAATTGAAAGAATGATACCAAAACAAGGACTCCGTTGTGCCTACACGAATATTAAATCTTTTTCCTGAATAGGTACTCTCAGAAATATCTATATTAACTACAAATGACGACCAAAGACAATTAAAATCAATTTTGTCTTACGAATTGTGTACCTTAAAAGAGTTCTTGGGTTCTGTCAACACGTGTTCCCTTCAGGCTCTCTTCCTCTGAGCTGAAGACAAAAACAAATGAAATGCAGTACGCAAAACGTAACTATAATTTTACCTGATGTTTAATTAGGTCGTGAAATCCGATCTTGCATCTGGAAGGACGAACACAGATTAATGGTGTTTGGGAAGAGGATGCTAAAAGAATGTCTGGACCTTATATCGTAGTGGCCTGGCACCGTAGGATGTCCTTTAAGGACCCAAAGTCATGAAAATAACCAGATGTTCTGTACAAGTGTTCGGAAACATTCTCCATTTAGACACCCTCGTTGCAAAAAATTGATGGAAGCTTACGTTAAGACACCCGTAGATTCACGCGCTGCCGACTGAAATGCGTTTTAATGCCAATGAACTATGTGAATATTTGAAGCAAAGTGGCCAAGGACTCGCTGTGATAAAGCCTTGATCAACCAGTGCAGACAATTCATCATCCTCGCCACACAACATGGATGACAGGTCTTGTCGTTCTTCTGAATGATTCTCGGACTTGGCTGCAGATACTTTTGTTGGTGATCAAATATATACGATCGTGCGTGGTTACATCAGCGCTGTTGACTTTAATTTCTCTTAAGAAAGCCAGCTCGATATTACTCTTTGAACTACATTGTGGTTTATATCTTAATTGCATCATGCTTGTGTTCCTCAATACAATACTTTTATTTCCGTCGTTACACAAGCTTATTGTTAAAAATCATATAAAATTTCACATAAAATTGTTACATTTCTGCCATTCAATAACAACGGACACGCACCTCACACACAACCCGATATAGGCACCCAGGCGCGTCTCCAAAATTAAATGAAAGAAGCCTGGAGATGTAATAAAAACGGATAAAACATAAGCAATATAAGCAGAGCAACAGATACACCAGATTTTAATTTTAATTTTGATAGACCTGACGATGATAGAATTGTATATCGAAACATGTCGTCAATTTTAAAATGTAACAATTTTATGTGAAATTTTATATGATTTTTAACAATAAGCTTGTGTAACGACGGAAATAAAAGTATTGTATTACATTGTGGTTCTAAAGTCAGAAATCCCAAAGTTGCGAACGGAACTCGTTACGGGCGTTCGTTCCCAAGCCTTCTGTTCGGAACTCCGGGCTCAGTTCGTCGTAGAACTAATGTCAGCGTAAAAATGGCCGACCTCGTTATCTTCCGACGTCCTTCAACCAATTACTGACCAGAAACAGTTCCTCGTACTTTTACAGCCATTAACAAATTAAGGAAATATCAATAACATTGTAAGGGTTTGGATTGCTTTAACGAACTATTTAAATTCGTATCGGTGAGGTAGAAGTCATACTTCGATTGAAACTGAAACCAAATTCAATACAATTTTTTTTTCATAAACGAACCGTCGTAAGAATAAGTTTTATAAAATTTGCATTTTATTAAGACTCGCAACTTTTGTTTCACATACGTTTCAGTAACATAAATAGACTAGTCTACGACCTCGACATTTGGATCAGAGTAGGAATGTAAATTCAGGGCAACTTTGCGAGAGTTTAGCACAGAGAAATGTCGTCGGTAATAACACCGCTACTGGAATGATGTTTGATCAATCGATCGGTCGATCGATCGGTCGCGTATCTGTAGGCTCATGGCAGTAAGACGAGTCACAAGAAATCAGGTTCCTTACATTTTTCTTCATCGTCTTCTTGCCGAAATGTTGTCACATTTTCCTCCGCGAGCTTCACAGTAGTGAAAACATTTATTAAATATAAACGCGACATCGTGTTATTAAATCTCAGAATTTTCTAGACGAATTTATAAATATCCTCAGGGCAAGAAAGTTGCTGAAAGTGATGTAATGTAAAGGAAGCGACTCCATAGACCTTCGAAAGCCCACGGCTGGCATTTCCTCATTAAGTCACAAAGGAAACATTTAAGATGGCGTGGGCCACGGCGATTACGATAGCAAGTTTTTCATACCACAGCTTATATATTTTTATTCTCCTGTGACCTCATATTTTGATCGATGTTTACCTTTTGACTGTGTTTTGGTTAAATGTCACAGAGTAGATCACCACAGCCTGGTGGTTTATAATTAAGCGTCTTTGTGCGGTATCTTAATGTTTTTCAAGGATGGAAGAAGTACGAGGGAAAGCAGGAATTAAGATAGAGTAAATGTACGATTAAGAAAATAAATGTGTCGTTGCCAGTTGAAATTCAACGAGTTTCTCACATTATTAATACATCTTAGGCGTATTTGGTGAGAATAATCTTGATATTGTGAGGAACTCGTATTAGACAGCCCCTTACACCCTCAAGAATTTTCATGGACAGACTGCAGACACGAAAGACGTATTTGAGTCAGGCTAGCCGGCCTCCGGGTTGAGATTTGAACCCGAGTAGGAAGCAGGAGTGCCAACCTCTCGACTTTAACGTTTGCTGGCGTGTTGTGTTTTTATACCGGGTGTTGGTACACATGTAAGTCCCAGCATTGCGGTGGACGATGATGTCTGTGGCAATTGCGAGTGGCCATGTGACGGCCCCTCCGAAGCAACCCATAGGTTGGGACCTAAGACGGCGCTGACACACGTTGGCCTTGCGGTCTGTCCGTATCAGGCGGCCCTTATCACTTTATCACCGCGATGTAAACAAGGGACTTTCCTTTACCCTGGCCAATTCGGTTATTCCGCCTGCTAACGGAAGTCTTGCTGAGCGATAAGGTGTTCTGAAAGCCAATCAGTATCAGTGTCTCTGTTTGTCGTGGCCGACGTTGAATAAGGAACAAGCCGTCGTGGTATTCGAGGCACTAGCGAATGGGCTCATTCTAAAAGGAGGAAGTCACTCATCGCGGTAAGGAGTCTCGATGTCATTCGGTAACCTTCGGACCGGATAAGGGCAGTGCGGACATGTTCTTAAAGACGCTGGTAAGTGGATGGCTTACTCAGACGCAGAACTTGCCTGCGAATGAAAAATCCTTTTGTCTTCCTTTTACGCAAGTGTTTGGTGCTTAAAATCATTTTTAACTGGGTTTTGTATTCATTCTTAAGTATTCTGGCGCGCTCCTCTTTGCCTCTGAGAGAGAAAATATGTGTCTCCTTTTAAGGACCCTGTCTTCTTTGATTCTGTCTACACGCTGTGTTTGCAGTTTGCGTTTCATTTGTTCACGTTGTAAGTTTTCTTAATGTCCCATCCAGTGATTTTATTCAGTTTCCTTGGATAACACATCCTTATAAATGTTTCATGCACACGTTTGCCAACAACAGCTTCTGTAAATTATGATTTTAAAAGTTAAACTATGGCGTATGGTGCAATCTGAGAAGAAAGAGACGAGGCACTGCCGACCGAGTCATGGATAATCTTGATCTCTTATTTAATACATGTCATTGTGACGTACGTCCTTCTAATAATGTCGTCAGCAAAATCAGAAATGGAGGACACGGACAGGCCAAATAGGATTGTGGAAATTGAAAAAGTGTAAATTAATACAAGAGTGTTTGGTTTTATATTAATGTAAGTCTGACACTTTCATGTATCTCCACTTCCGCATTCAGATCTTCACCTGTCATTACAGTGACTGAGTTATTATTAGTTCTGTGTGTAAAATAAAAAAAATAAAGGAAACTTAATAAGATATCCGGATTTACATAAGCGCCCTGGAATAGCATTCGGTACGCCCTGCAAAATTAGGCTAGTACAAGATTCGCTCGGCTTCTTAACAGCGCCACTTGTTATTTTTCTCTTAACTTGTAAATATAAATGCATCTTTCGGTCTGAAAAATGACGTTTATTCTAAAGTCTTGATGTATATTTGTCATTGCTCAACTTCTTTGCAGTAATTTTTCTGCATTATCGATTGTAAACATTTATAAACGGTCTTGTTGTGAATAAAATACGGACATTTCTGGTTGTCGTGAAGGACATTTTGCGGTCAACTTATTTCTATTGAACACTGAAAAATCTGCATTGCGTATCTGTTGTGTAGGTGTCGTTACCAGTCCTGGTGCTCATCGTCGCCGGTCACAATGACGTGCCAGATTACAGCGATTCCGTTCCTGAATCGGAGTGCTTCAACAGAACGCGTGTCTTCGCGTTGAAATCTACAGAACAGTTCTTACAGACCGGCAACATGACAATCGGTGAACTGGCGGTGGATTCGACGAACAACTATGTCAACTGCCTTAACAAAATGGCGCCAGAAAACGCTCTTCGCCACCAGAGTTCGCTGCAGTACGAGTTACGGAACCGAGAACTGAGTCTTACAAAATGTAATCTAAGGACCATAAAAGAAATTTACGGACTGGCGGAAATGGACGCCGACATCCGGGATTATAATAAGAAAGAGGAGATTCTGACAGATGAAACTGAAAGGAAAAAGGAATTTAAGCTTCTAAAAGATTTGACGTCGTTGTTGAAGGAGTCTGTCAGGAAACTTGAGTCGGCACTTCTCAAAGTCACTTGTGTACATTCTATAATGAAATCGTGCAATACGTCCTCTTTCAACAGTTCTTGGATCTGTGCGTTGCTTTCTGAAAAAGAGTGGGAGTCCCGAATCAAGAACAAGACGGACACGCTCAAAGGTTACAACGACGAATGCGAGGCTGTCGAGACGGAAAGGTTCTTCGGGAAATACGTGAACCCTGTAATTTACAGCGTCATTCTGCTCGTCGGTTTGGTGGGCAATGGCAGCATCCTGCTAATCTTTGCGTTGAACAGAAACGTCAGGACGAAGTCCAACGTCATGATATTTAATCTCGTCGTCGGCGACACGCTCAACTTGCTGATTAATATTCCGGTGCACTACATGGTACACTTTTCTTCCGTACTGGGACCCTTAACTGGCGTCTACTGCCACCTGTTCGCCATGATGCGCTTCGTGTTCTTCGCAGTGAGCGCTCTCTCTGTGGTTTTCCTCAGCCTACAGCGATACTTCATAACCGTGCACCTATTTTGGCGACCTGGGATATCCCGGAAGTGCTCAGTGTTGCTGTATGTCGTAACTGTGTGGCTGTTAGCCATCTTCGTGTCCCTTCCGGAAGCCTTTAACGTCAGGGACAGGAATGGGATTTGTTCCTCGTATAGCCAAGCCCGAAGGAAGCTCGTGTCGATGTTGACGTTCCTACTTTACTGCGTGGTGTGTCCGTGTGCCATGGCCGTTTTCAGCGCAGTGACCGCAAGGCGCCTACGCAACAGCGTACGAGATGTGACGAGTCAGTCCTGCAACAGGGCCGTGGAATTGTCCCGAACGAGGACCGCCAGCGTCCTCAGGGCCCTGAACGTCGTCTTCCTCATCAGTTACGTGCCGGCTTACACGTGGTACATGGTTGCTTACTGGTTCACGGATGAACTGAACGAACTGCCCGCCATTGTCCCTATTTGTATCGATAATGTTTCTTACCATCTCTTGTTTCTGAACGTGTGCTTCAACCCAGTGGCGCTGTACACTGTGAGCGGAACATTTCGGAAGCCGCTTTGTGTATGCATGTTACGTTTTTGCAGTAAATGAAAAGTGGCCGGCAGAGTTCGAACCAGTGTGTCGGTGTGGGAGGTTTACAACGCGCGTACTTCACTTCGGATTGCAAGTGGTCGGAAGGTCGAGCACATTTCCACAGGACAGTTTTTCAACGATGGCGGGACAGTTGTTTGATCTTTAGGATTTAATTTCATAACCCGTAGCAACAAAAGCTCACTCCTTAACAAAAATTATTTTACTTTGGACGCGAACTAATGCTCCCCGCATTATTTATGTCTTTAGATTTTTCTGTTCGAACGCGCCCTCTTTGAGCGATCGGACTGAGTATCATCCCTGCACTTCATGCGTATATTGAAAGAATTTAGAGATTTTGATTAAAATTTACACTAAAATTCCTACTTTTATGACATCAAAAAAATGTCCATGCGTATTTCATTTAATATGAAACAACATAGCAGAAGTAGATAACATGTATTTGAGCTTTCGGGTTTAAAGCGATTACCAAAGAACCATAGAGAAATTTGGCATGAAATTCTGTCATAAACACGCCTAAAAATTGTTTATAATGTATCCGTAATTTAACATATAACATAGCACGGCTACTTTAATTTAACGGACACACAAGCCGTGTTAAAATTCCCTCCAAGAAGAAGATATTAATCCTAATAATAATTAAATTAATTTCTATAGTAGTTCTTGGCAACGGCCAGAGAATAGTAAAATATGTACAAAGAATTTTTGAACTCAAAACAACAATTAAAACATGTCAGTAAACTAAATAGGATCACGCAAAATTTAATGCTGAATAACACTTAAACGTGATGGACTAGCTGTCATATGTTTAAATGTTTTAAAATAGAACACAATTTAAGAAATAGGTCGTCTTCTCAAAATCGGGTGTGACATAAAATCCCGGATTTATTTCTATATTATTATCTAAAAAAGTGAACATATTTCAATCGACAGAGGACGTTCGAGCTTCAACCAGACTGGAGGGATTTTACAAATTATAGCATCAGTTGTCTAGTAAGGAAAAATTATGACATAAATTTGTTTCTCCTAGGAGCTTCGGTGCATCAAAATTAATACAGCAACGCCACTGTTTACCGCGCGTGTATCACACTGTAAATATTTGTAGCGTTTATTAGATCTATGAAATGATATATTTTGAGAACATTCGTAATTTTATAATAAACGAAGATGTAAAGAGTATAGATATTTTGCTTTGTAGGCCAAGACGCTTTGAGTTTTGCGGTAGAAGATAGTAAGAGATTTTGTGAAAGGCTAGACCGAAATGTAAGACGACGGAGGCAATCTGACCTTGTGGGGAAAGAGCGGTGAAGACAATGTTTAATTACGTGATTAAATTGGTTACCGTAGGTTTATAGTTATTAAATCAATGCTGAGATGTTTAAATTTCGATTTAAAATAAAAGGAGAGCAGTAAGACTTCCACAAACCTCAGGAAGATTGTAAGAGGTTTGTAGTTACTCACGGGCTGTGTGGGCCTTGCTGGAATAAAGGGAAAACAGTCGCTTTCAACGAGGAGGAAAACCCCTTTTAATGAACTCAGATTAAATATGTACTTTAAGAGGGAGGCGAGTATCTGAAAGCAGCCTTTGATAATAAAAGTAGGGATTCTGTGTGGACCAACAGACTTAGACGACTTAAGTGGTTGAATCATCCTCTTACGTCAGCGTTGGAAATGGAACGGACATTAAAATGTCAAGACTATCAAGAGAAAGGGGAGTATTTGAGTAAGAACAAAATAATATAATTGCAATGGTTTCCATGGTGAGCTGCAGTATTTGCCTGGACGTCCATTAAATTCTGCAGTTCCTTTGTTAGCGTCTGTCTTCAGGGGAGTGTCGCAACTTTTAAGTTTGATGCATTATGCAGTTCCTTTGTTAGCGTCTATCTTCAGGAGCGTGTCGCAACTTTTAAGTTTGATGCATTTAGCGTGTGTACGTATGTATGCACCGTACTCATTAATTAATATCGGTCTCGCAAACCAACTCAGGTCGACTGTTTGCAGTTGAAGGCAGAAAGCTTCGTACTAAAGAAAACCGATATTCGGAAGGGAGAATGGGACTTGTCTCCGGATGAAACAACTTTCCTGGTGACAACAAAGTTCACTAAAGACCAATCGACCGTTTGGGTACATTCCGCAGTGCCCCACATAATTAATGAACGCACACTCATTCATACATACACGTGAATATGCCACGTAAATCATGGATGATCGCCTGTCTCCTGGATGCAAGAAAGACTGGACTTTCAACCCACCTGTTACCATCGAGGAAGTAAACCGGCTTGTGATGCAGTTTGCAGCGCGCGGATAGCGGGGTAAGACCCTAGCACGTCACGAACCCTGGACTACGCTGCATCGTTTGTCGTTCTGTGTGTTCGATGAGGGTTTTGTGTGGATTATAGTTCTGCGGTAAAGTGCCGTGTTTTCTGTTCAATTTTACATTTTTCAGTTTTTCGTTTGAACAACGAAGTTCATGAACACGACGCAGACTGTAAACAAGGTCAGCCGTGTCTAATTACGTAAACTGATAAGCGGAAGTGAAGTGTTGCAAAATTCGGATGTCATATGAGGAAGACTTAGAAATAAAACAATTTGCACCAGACAGGACATGAACGTGTAGGTAAGCACGCAAACCAATATTTTAACAAGGCCTGATTGTTTGTTTGCTTGTATCTGTATGGTTAAGGGCGCTTTGAAGGAGAACAGGGCTGGGCGAAGGTGGGCGTGGCGACATTAAGCATGTCAGAAGAGAGAGCGAAACGTAGAGCACACAAACAATTATGCTAACAGTCAAACTACGCAGGTTAATAGCAGCAAGGCACGTGTTAATGAACAATGATTACATCAATCTTTTTTTAAGAACGAAATGTTCGAACCTGCATTATGTAGTCGGAATAAGACGCTCATCACACAGAATATGAACCCAGGTCAATGTATTTAAATTTGGTCACGGGTCATTACAAAGGTCAACTGTCTAAGTCACAGAACAGTTCAACCGGTGGCAGAATTTGTCGTGACCTTGCCGTTGACAGTGTGTGTCATGACCAATCCATCCGCGCGTACGTAAACCTGATGGGATGTGATGGTAGCTCAGCATGGGATTTGATAGGGTAGCTTCAAATTTAAAAAGGAATAATTGTCTAGAGGAAAATGGATGCAACATTTTCTATCTGCGGCCAAGGTATAAATAATCTGGAGTTTATACTCAGGCGTTCCCCAGATCACCACAGCAATATATTTTGTGTGTGGTCGACTGCATTTCTGAAGTAGACAAACTAAGTATAATAACTATTCAACTTTGCTTTCGATTATGCTAACAATTTGGTCAGACAGAACACGTGGGCATTGGAATTGAATGGGACATATACCCTTGTGATTTGTGCTAACGATGTGCGTTTATTTGGTGAATAAATGTACGTATATCATGAAGAAAAACACAAATCCTAATGGAAGCTAGTAAGAAAATTGGTCTAGAAGTAACCATAGAGAAAACAGGACGCATATTTTTGTGTTACGGGACAAAATCATTGCGTGGCGTTTGCTCATTGCCCCGTCAAAAGTACGGTAAAATTAAAATATTTGGAAACCGCATCAACAAATCAAATTGAATTCATTAGGGGATTAAAAAGAAATGAAATTTAGGGAATAATTGACGCCGTGTAGCTCATAAACACTGCCCTTTCTGTTGATGTCTAGAATTGTTAAAATTATATTTTAACTTTTGTCTTGAATGGAGGTGATGTGAGGTCTCTCATTTCAAAAGACAGAGGAAGTGACAGGAGACTGAAGAAAACTGCGATAATGAGCTGCATAATTTCTATACTTCAATAAACATTAATAGGAAGATGAAATCAAGGAGGATGAATTGGGTGGGCGGGGCATGTAGCGCGAACAGATAAGAAGAGAAACGCGTACATAATTTGGTTTGAAAGCCTGGAATGGAAGACGTGGGCGTGTATGGTTGACGTGCTCTGTGTTGGACGTATCTCGCTCAGGACAGAGGACGGGAGAGTGGGTCTTCTGAACACTAAGGACTGCATATTTCTCGACTACCTGGAGGTGGGGGGTCGTTGCAGAATGTGCAAACAGCGAGCAGCGCACTCACGCACTCAGACCGAAAGTCGTCTCTTACGTTCGCCTCACAGCGATAAGCATTTTAATTTCGTCTTCTTGAAAGATTTAACCGGGCTTCATGAGAAGTTCTGTAAATGACATAAATTGGAGTTCCCCCCCCCTTCTACCTACTTCCGCTTATTTCCATAAAGCCTTGAGTTTTTTTTTTCTATTCTGCTTACACAATCTTTCCTTTGTGTACATCCACTCCAATGTCTGTAATAACACGTAATAAATTTCATATCCGGATGAAAGGAAACTCTGGCCAGTACGTGTCAAATAGCTCTCGATTTTGAGCTATCTCAGTAAGAACAAAGCGGCATTTGTTAAACAGACTACGGTCTCAAACGAAAGGCAGAGAGCTAAAGACGAGTGTAATCGTCTCTGTTTCCAAGAGTCTCCAACGACGTCGCCACCTGCTGCACCTTGCTCTCTTTGAAACAATGGCTGCACACGAAATTGGAACGTAATTCCACCTACAGCCTCAATTTTACATCCTTTAATGTTGCTGTGGAAACAGATTTTATGCGCAAAAGCTTATTCATATTCACTTAGTCCTTTCTCTATCCAGATGTCTGCATTCGCTGTGCATTTCCAAGTCTTCGTAATGGCTTAAGCGAGATATCAGTGTCTTGTACATACGGTAACATGTCACGACATTCATGTGTTATGTCAGAAGGGAATTTGTTTCGTTCACTAAAACTTGACAGTCCGTCAGCTGCGACCATCTTCACCCACCGATGGACCCTCCCTCAAACTTCGTGAAATTCGGAATAATTTTACTACGAGTCGTTCTTAAACCAATGTGACAACTTGAGACCTTGCGTGCCGTGCGGTGTATTGATACATCAAATCACGCATACAAACGAAACTTTTTACACCTTTCAATGACACTTGGTGCCAAACGCGTTTCGACCTCAAGATGTCATCATCAGTAGGAAAGAAATTGAATTTGAATAATTTCTTTCCTACTGATGATGACCTCTTGAGGTCGAAACGCGTTTGGCACCAAGTGTATTTTCAAGGTTTAAACAATGTGAAGACGTTCAGTTTTATATCTGTGGATGATAAAGATTATGTTTCGACAGATAGGAAGGGGAATTAGCATTATCGGACTTCTTTTGTCGTAGTGCGTACAATAATAAATTCAATAGAGAGTAAGAACCGTACGAACACGGGAACAGACAAATATAGTCCTTATTGTTCCTTCACATTTTACTCTGTGCAGAGAAATCACAAAGGAACAATGGCGAATCGCCCATTCAGACTGGATTTTGAGAACTGAGACCTTGTCAGACGGGGTGGATGTTTCCTCGCAGTCATCTGTTGCTTGGTTTTGTAGTCAATGGGCCACTACCAGCATCTACGCTCAGAGAAGAGAGTTTTCAATTTCAGTTCTCAACGTCTGCACGAAAGTAATCAAAGACCTGAATTCTGCGTTTCTACTTTACAAAAAAAAACTAAATTTGTATTTCCTTCAAGAAAAGACTTTTTCGTCCTGAAATAAGAATCAGAATGAAGAAATCCATAAGAGAGCGCGAGGCAAGGATCTGGCTGTTGTTGAACGACGTAAGCTCCAGGAAGTGGTCAAGGAGGAACGAGGGTAGAACTGTTAAAGTTTCCCGTCCTGCAGCCAAACCCCAGCTACTTGCATCCGATTCGACGCCCACTGTTGACGCAAAAGTGAGTCGATTGTGACATCCAGACACACGTTATATTTCTTCGAGACCGTCAACAGAATCTCCAGACCGAATCCTGAATTTGTACAAAAATTAACTCACTTCCCTATCGTCCGTCATTAATTACTTATTTGTTGTTGTTTCCTTTGTTAGTTCTGTGAGGCTGTCTTGTGGGATATTGCGCCGTGTAGTGTGGTGGAAGATAATCGACGTTTCAGAGATGATTTCACTACCTCCATTACCAATGTTATGACGGCGACAGTAAACTCCTCCGAAACGTCAGGTGACGTTCTTCGAGACTGTACGTTGCAACGTCTCAGAAGGCACCCGACTCCGCGTTTTCTTTCCTTACTGTTCCGTTATTTATTCCTGAACTTTTCGGAGCATCTTTTATTTCGCACTCGGCGGCTGAAAGTGGCTCCTGCCTTACGCGAAGTCCGAATAGAACTCGGTCACAAAACCGGCTTTGACGTCTCCACCTCCGCGGTAAACTCGCGTCTCCCGGTGACCACTTTTTTTAAACGATGGCTTCGCTACGTAATATTCTTAGCCTATGCAGAGCGAATCTGGTACGTTTAAGATTTTTAAGATACGGCTTACATTTTACGCGTGTTTGAACTTTGTACGATTAGGAGGAATTCAAGTGTATACGCGGATTATTTATGGTTGAGGCGTGTCCCTTGTAGCAGTGTTAAGATTTCTTGCAAAATGTTCACAAAACAAGAACATAGCGTTACAGCGATACACGGCGTAATGATCAAAGTACGCTTTTCCAAAACGTGTACGCCGTATTCCAACGCGCATTATACAGAAGTCTGCTCTGTGTGTAAAGGAATTGTCCCTGCACACTTGCACGCCTTTAGGGCCAGTTCTGCAAGCCATCCGAAATGTCAGTGGAGTTTAATTACCAGTCAACATTGATGGTTTGTTATTGAGGTTCGGGATGTGCGAACAATTACAGTCCACAGCTCTGGGGCCAGACAATGCCCGCAGCGTGCCTAAGACTTGCCAACTACACAGGCCTTTGTTTGTTCAGAGAAGAGCGTGTTGACTTGAAGGCACCTGCAGTGTTCAGACACAGGCTGGTGTAATAATTCAAAACCAAAGACTTGATGTTTTTAATCGTGTCATATTTGGAAATTTCATTTTTGTTTTTCGAACATCGGTGAAAGGCAAAATCGAAATTGACAAGCACAGTCCATGACTCACTCACTCACTCTATGGCGCAGGAAATTCTTCGGAAAGTCGATTGTCTACTAGGTTTGTCAGAGGGTAGCCCAATTTCTTCGTGGAACTCAAATGTTTATCACCGTGTTCACGAAAGCCCGCCACCGGACTCTATCCTGAGCTATCTGCATTAGTTTTATCCATATCCCTAAGGTCCATCTTAACGTTAATCCAGCTTTTCCTCACTGCGTCTTTAAGTACAGCTACAGCCTTGTCCCATTAACCTTACCATGATTCGTATCAATTTCGACGTCTTAATTCTTCATTTGGGACAGAACCAGTTCCTTTCCTATTCCTCGCAGAGGCACGAAAACTCCAAGTATATAACTTTCCAATGGAAACGCGAAAACAAATGGCGACCTATGAAGTCAAAAGGTCGCCATTGTGAGGTTTTTGTTCCGCACCCTGGTGATGGTCCAACCATCAGAGCGACGTCTCTAACCGAACTGCCAGGAGGGGAACGCAAGGTGTCAAAGGTCGACGCTGTCCAATGAAGAATTGGTGCTCCATCCTCCGAATATCTAGTCTGGTTTGGCTGCCGTCCAGAACCTGGGGCCCCATGTAATAATGCCAACCCCATGCATCGCTTCCGGAAGGTCAT